ATTCGGGTGCGGCGATTAAAACGGGCCACCCTGTATATTCTAGCTTTTTTCATTGAAGAATATGAATTTCTTGTTAACTGTACGTCTAGTTGAAATGGAACTTTACGAGAACAAACTTAAGTATTTACTTCATAATTATAACAATTTTTAAATTGCTGTCTTATATGCAAGTGTTTCAATTTAAAAGAGAATAACTACAGAATAAGGTTATACCTTCAACTTGTAATGTAAAATTCTATAAATTTATAATTAAATATCATCGAAATGGTACGGTAAAAGTCAATGAAATTTTTTTTTAGATATTGATATTAACTTTTGTATTACATGTATATTATAGATTTGTCTTATATTTCGTCAAACGCGAGAACCTCCTTAACAAATATAACAAAAATATCATAGGTCACCAAAGAGTTACCTACGCGGTATAGTAATCAAGTCACTTAAAACTGACGCGGAACGGAACGTGTAAAAAATATGTAAGGTTAAATAATTAAATTTATAATAATCTTAAGAAAATTATAAATTTTGTGCATACTGTGTGTGTGCCTTGCTTAAAATTCAAGTTTAAATGTTCAAAGTCAATATTTTCAACAATTGGCAAGGGTCCATACATGTTCATGCATCTCTTTTTCTTTTGTAAAATTACTTTTCAGTGTAACAGAAATAATAACAGTAATGAGAAAACATTAAAAATTAAAGGGATAATTTTCGCATTGTACGTTTCAGAAAAAAAAGTTTAGAAAAATGTAAAAAAAAGTTACTCATACGCAATTATGCATAACTTTAGATATAATTATATATAAGTAATTTTTTATATTTTGTATATTTCTTCTAACTGGATTTTTTTCTAAAAACATATGTATAAAAATTACCTTTTTAATTATTTTTAATATTTTCAGATTACTATTATTTCTATTACACTAAAAAGTAATTTTACAAAAGGCTAGGATGTATAAACATATACCAGGTGTAAAAGTATGAAATACAGATTTTTTTCCAAAAAGAACATGTTAAATTCAGAAGAATGATAAAAAGTGGTTCATTCAAAGTATGCTCCATTGCTAGTTACACATTTTTCCCATCTTTCGGGTAATTTGTGGATGCCACGCCAGTAAAAATCTTCTCCTTTTGCCGCGAACCATTCATCGAGCCATTTTTTCACATCTTCGTACGAACCAAAGTGCTGCTCAGCAAGTGCGTGACCCATTGATGCAAACAAGTGGTAATCGGAAGGAGCCAAGTCTGGTGAGTAAGCCGCATGGGCTAGCACTTCCCAGCTGAGTGCTTCCAACATGTCACGAACTGGTTTTGCCGTATGTGATGGAGCATCGTCTTGGAGAAAAATGATCTTGTGTTGCCTTTTTCGATATTCTGGTCGTTTTTCGAGTAGCGAACGGTTCAAATTGATCAATTGTTGTTCGTAGCGTTTGGTATTAACCGTTTCAGCCGGCTTTAACAGCTCATAATAGACCACACCCTTCTGGTCCCACCAAACACAGAGCATCGTCTTCCTGCCAAAGCGATTCGGTCTTGCGGATGGTGCGTCTGGGTCTACCGATGATTTTTTGCGCTTGAGATTCTCAAAATATATCCACTTTTTATCCCCAGTAACGATACGATGCAAAAACGACTTTCTTTTGTATCGTTCGAGCAAAATTTCACATGTGTTTTTGCGCCTCTCCATCTGCCTCTCGTTCAACTCATGTGATATCCATCTGCCGTCCTTCTGAATCTTTCCCATCTCTCGTAGGCGATTGGAAACAGCTTGTTGACTAACGCTTAATTGCTCTGCGAGTTGTTTTTGTGTTTGTGAATCGTCTTCGTCCAACAATGCTTGCAATTTTACATCTTCGTACCTTTTTGGCGGTTTTCCGTGTTCCTTGTCTACAACATCGAAATCACCACTTTTGAAACGCCGAAACCATCGTTCACACGTATCTTGCGATGGAGCATATTCACCATAAGCTTCTCGAAGTAATCGGTATGATTCAGCAGCAGTTTTCTTCAAATGAAAACAAAAAATTAATGCTGTCCGCGAATGCTCTTTATTTGGCACAAATTGCGACATATTGAACACTGCAAAACAATACTATGCAAACACTTTTTCAATTTATCACTTATTTATCACGCGTTTGACACTTGTTGATGGCACAACAAAATGGCATATACGTCAAATCTTTATACTACACACTGTATTGGTGCACCATCTGTTGTCTCAAATCCGCACTTCATACTTGTACACCTGGTATGGACATATTTCGTATATGATTATATATGTTTATGAATATATATGTATGTTTATACATATTCATGCATGAACAATTTTTTATCGGAATTTATATTATTAAAAGTGTATTTTATATAAATAAAATATTACTATCCAATGCAATGTATTGAATAAATATAAAGATAATGGAAAATTTGTCTTACCTTGCAATACGAAAAAAGAATCCTTGCCAAAGTTACAGATAATTAGGACGACACTACCATGGCTATTTGACAAATGGCTCAACTTGATTCTTTTCTCAGTCCTATTTGCTCGTGACCGAGCGTGGTGACTTCTCTCATATGTCTGTGGTGCGCACGCTGGTTGTACACAGCTTCATTAGGTTGTCATATGCTTCAGTCAGCTTGATTAGACAACTGAAAAAAAGATCAATTTTTAAAGGACGAATAATAAGGATAATGTGATACATCATGTACATTATGCGTGCAATAGAACGCATTTCTTGTTTAACATTTTATGAACAACAAGGGATGTGTTCCGTTACATGCATAATGTATCGCATAATGTATCATTTTATCCTTATTTAACCCTTCCACCACACACCTATTTCAATCATCCACCACACATGGGGTCTACTGGACCCCAATGGCTAGAGCGGCAATTGCGGCAGCAATTTTGACTATTTTAAATTGGCAAAATTCATGGATGTTCTTGAATGTATAAATAAAAAGGTAGAATAGTCGAAAAAAATTAAAAAAATTTTTAACATTGTTAAAAAAAATAGGAAATGTGAAAGAAAAAATGGAAAAAATGACCTTTTCTACTTAAAAAATCATAAGTTTTTTATTTGCCTCTGCTTCTCACCTCATAAGCAACAAACGGGGATGCTCCCCGCGTGATCTGCTTCTAGTAGTGTCGAATAACCGATAGAGGGCGCCACAAGTCCCGTTTCAAATATTAAGGTGGTCAAATCGAAGCGCGAACCGGGACTGGGGTCCCTGGGACCCCGTGTGTGGTGGAAGGGTTAATATTCAGTGAACAATAAGGATAAAATAGATACACCCAGAGAGAATCAAGGGAGAGTGGAGCGAATAGCGTTCTCTTCTCTGATTGGTTCCGCCATTTATCCGTTTACTTCTGCAAATGTGCATGTGTGCATGTACACTATTATAAATATCTCTAACGAATGGCAGCTGAATCTGTTTCATTCTCCCTTGATTCTCTTTGTATAAACTATATGCATTATGCATGCAACGGATAATGGGAAATCTGTCTTACCTTGCAATACAAAAAAAGGATTTTTTCCAAAGTTACAGATAATTAGGACGACACTACCGTGGCTATTTGACAACCGGCTCAACTTGATTCTTTTCTCAGTCCTATTTGCTCGTGAGCGAGCATGGTGACTTCTCTCACATGTTTGTGGTGTGCACGTTGATTGTACACAGTCATATGCTTCAGCCAACTTGATTAGAACTGAAGCTTGATCACAACTGAAAAAAAGATTAATTATTAAAAGATGAATAACAATTGGATAAAATGATACATCATGCGCATTATGCATGCAACATATATTCTAACAAGTTGTAAGAACATCAAACTGTATTATCGTGCCGGCGAGTTAAAAATTACATTGTGAAACGCAACAGCAATTAAACAAAAACTTAATGTTTTTATTCTTATGCCAATGTTCATCTTTCGAATAATAAAGATATTAGGTGCGACTTCATGAACGTAACCTCTAATTTTAAAATTAATTGTACGACAAATTTGTCAATAAAAATATAATTCTAAATAAATACAACATTAATGTTGTATTTTTTATTTTATATTTTTTTCCAAATATAAGTGAGGAAAAATAGAGAATTACCTTAGATTTTCACTATGCTCAATCTCGTGGCTCACACGCCTGCACTTTCTTTCTTCTTCTTCTAGTAAATTGGCCCTGCAGCCTTATGTAGGCTGATACTGAGCCATTGAAGTCTTCGGAATTGAATAAATCGTAAATGCAATGCACCAGCCACCTCGAACCGGACGAGTAAAATAAAAAATGTAATCAAAATGAAAACGGAAGGCGCCCCTCCAGACACTGGGCGCCTGCGACTACGACGCTTCGGCACCGCACGAACGCGCGTCCAGATGAATAAAGAGACGTAATTATAAAGGGACGAAAAAATATCGGTGATGTAACGCAATTGCACAGTTAAAGCCGGCCACAGTTTTCAAAAATATGATTAAGGTAACTGAAGCGAGGCGAAATGCACGCCCGACGTTGCACACGCATCATACGGCTCACACGCATATGGCCAAAAAGGCGGGAAAAGAAGGATCACTCCCTGGGGTGCGTTCCAAAACTCGACTTTTGTCAACTCAAGTATCATTGGTCGCGTTCAGCAGACTCAACTGTTGTGGAGCAGATCCGTGAGCGCTCGCTGTTATTGGTGTATTCTTTTAGCTCATCCAATCAGAATTTTAGATTTAGAAGAATACACCAATAACAGGGAGCGCTCACTCAACTGTTGAGTCCGCTGAATGCGCCCATTAGGAGAGAAATTCAGAGGATTAGTAACTGTTGTAAAATTCTTTAACATGATTGGTCTTGCCCTTAGTTTCTCATTGGATCTAAATATATAAACCAATCATATTATTTTATTCTTATGTTCACTGAATGTTGGACAAGGATAAAAGATACTCGGAGTTGATATAGTTCCGTTTTGGAACGCACTCCTGATAGCGCTATTACCGCCGCGTTTTCCGGCACTTGTATTTACGAATTTTAGCGCCACAAATACAAATATAAAATATAATTTCAAAAAATAATTTCTATAATAATAAACTATTACTATAGAAAAGATAACCAAGAAAAAATGGAAGATACTTTCTGGGTTATAATTAAGTGCAATATGCTTATAGAAATTAAATGCAGCAGGCAGCGTTGGTTCTCCATTTTATATTGTGAGTTTGTTCTGAAAATATATGACAGACGTACACGAGTGGTCAGCACCTACAGAAATCCTCGAAGAACAACCCTATACTTTTAGAAACGAGGTAGGAGCTTTAGTATAAGAGAAAAGAGTCGCCGAAAATTTCGTTTGTATATTACGAGTGAAATTGACGTGAAGCCATGAAATTGAGCAGTATTTTAGTTGATCTCTTTCTAAGAGATGGCGTTACAATATATCAGATAAGGACAAATGAATGCGTTTGAACGAGACACAACGATATATGTTATAATAAGTATAAGAAATGAATGAAAGATGTCACTATTGTCGAATTTGGAGTTCAAAAAAGTCTGTACTATCGACCTTGATTAACTTCGACCGTCACTCCAGCATCCCCTTAAGGCCCATCTACAATACACGGAGTAAGAAGTAAGAGTAAGAAATTGACCAATCACAGTCGAATGTGAGAAGAATAATCGACTGTGAATGGTCAATTTCTTACTCTTACTTCTTACTCCGTGTATTGTAGACGACGCCTAATGCGTGGTCTACAATGGCAGTAGCAGTAGTGGATTAGGTTGTAAAGCCTTGTGTCCACGATGCTAGAAATCGGTCCGAGATCTCGTACAGAGAAAAAATTAACAAATCACATTTGAACAATTTGATCACATGACCATTGCGATTGATCAATGCTCTCTTCATCCGAGATCTCGGACCGATTTCTAGCATCGTGGACACAAGGCTTTAAATTTGTTTGCTAAATATACGATGGTCATTGTTTTACAATTATCTGCTCATAGATGTCTCTACTGACATAGATATTCTTTCAGAGATCATCTGCCGGTTCTTGCCAAATGATTGCCACCTTGCCGACCGAACAAGCCGCGAACGGCACTGCGTTATTTGTGTCAATTTGCGTTTGGTCGATATCGCTGTCCATCCGGCTCATCGTCGCTGATCGTCGTGTGTGTAAAAAATACGGCGACGATGCTGGAGCGGGTGTGATCGCCGTGGCGATCTGAAACAGGAAGTGGTAGTGGTCGTTCGGTACTTGTTCGTACTCGTACTCGCATAATTTACCGAAATCGCCGAAGAAGAAGTGTCCAACGGTGAGCTGAAAAAGGAGTAGTCACGTGATCGAGAGTGTCGTACCGAAGATCAACCCCAACGGCTCAGCCATCGTACGTGCATGTGTGCGCGCGTGTGATATGCCGGTGTCCCACTCCCTGGTGCAGTACGATACCGTTCCTCCCTTAAAACCAACTATTTGCCTCGCGCCAGTAGGGGCTTGGTTGAGGACGCAGCCGTGATCGTCGTCGTCCGCTACTATGCGCGTTACGCATTAACAACGCATAAACACCGTGATTGAGGTGAGCCGGGGCTGTTTCTCCTTGTATGTACGTACCTATGTATATGTAAAGCAATTTAGGCTGTGTCTTCGCTTGTCTTCGTTTAACATTTAACAAACAACAAGGATGAAATGATTTTTAAGCGTTGTCAGCGTGAATCGGACCGCAGTCTTATTTTTGTGCGCGTTCCGAAGATCGATCAGCGAATGTATGCAAGTGCTTTTCGGTTTTTCCGTCTCCCTCCATTTGTTGAGGGAGCAAGAACGTGTCGAGGGTGTATTCCGAGGGTGAGTCGCGCCGCGTCGAGCTCCAAATACGCTGAAGAAGAAAGATGTACATCTTGCGTTTAGAATTCTAAATCGTTTAAGTGGAAATATAGCTATTGCTTCTTGTTTATCTTGTGTAGTTATCTATTTAAATTATCTTACAATCTGAAATAGCAAAATGTTCGTGATGCGATATCATAATAAATAAAAATGTACCTACTACTACTATTATTTCGATTTTATGATCATGATATCATGTGAATCATGGGAACAAGATTGCAAGTGTTGCAAGATTAAAAAGTTGTTATGTAGAATCTGTCTTTGCATCGTAATTCAAGAAAATAAATTAACGATGGAGCCATCGAAGAATTAATTAAATCCAAAAAACAATGTTTTTAGAAGCTGCTATAATTGATATTTAATGAATACCTGTTTTACATGCACAGGATGGATTTCATAACATTTGGACATAACATCAGAAATGAATTTATGACACAAAAAGTTTATAACGTATATACTATCTGATCTTGATTCTAAATTACAGATATTTTTGTTTCATTAATTCTCATTACAAACTGAGCTAACATAGCATTTTCTTAAATAGATGCAATATATTAAACTATAACGTATATATTATAATATTTTTTTCTTTTTTTCCTCTCTTACTGCTAGTTTGCCTTAAGTGTAAAAACTTATGTAATAGCTAAAAGAAACACTTATATAAAAGTGTCTTTTCTTCCTTTTTTCAAAGTATAAATATGTATACATATATTTTATATGCATGTATTCACTTCATACATAATTTAAAAGCAAAACTAAATAAAGAGATTTAATGTGTTCTCTTAGGTATTCACTGAATATATAGCAATGTATAGTTGGAAGGAGTATGACCTATAGTAGCCTTGACAATATGCATGACTCGATGTAATTTATATATACTGTGGCATACAACATTAGTCTATGAGATGAATATAAAATAGTACATTGTGCGTCAATTTTAACATAGTTCCAGATAGAAAACTTTGGTTTTTTGTCCAGTAAGATCCAGTAATTGTAAGATGAATAATAAAATTGCATGAATTGCATTAGTATTCAATGTTAACTGTGTGATCAAGTAGTTGTTACCATACTAGAAATTCATTGAAATTACAATCTAGAACAAAATTTTAATACTCACGTTATTAAATTGATATTGTAACTTTTTTATTTTATTTATGTATTTTTTATTTTGTTTTTTATTCAGTAATTTTTTTATTAAATTTTGTTTTTATTTGAACCAGAGGTTTGAAATTTTTTAAAAGACAGATTAGAAAACTGATTTCTAGATAAGAAAATATGCACTAATGCTAGCAGTGGTTATTTGCATAAATATAAATTACTTCAAAGTTGTGTAACAACTTTATTTAACTTAATATATTTCTTGCATTAATATTTTCTACGCTAGTATAAATATAATTTTCAGACTTAGTATATGTTCTTTTGTTATAGCATGTACGCGCTGCAGATGCAGACTGCCTGCCAGGGCGATGGCACCGGTGAACCTGATGACCCCAGCAGCCTTCATCAGGAACCAGTGCGACCTGCTACTCAAGATTGTAGCTCTTTCGATATTGTCAGAGCCACGCAGGTAATATTAGTGATCGAATTAAAGAACGTATTTATTTTTTCAATTTATATTTTTAAAAGATGAAAAAACTATACATTATATCTTGTAAGTTTACGAATTCATAAATGCGCAATTCATATTATCAAATTGTATGGATTTAAGATGATTGAATGAGATATATTTGTAGTATGGGGCGTTGGAGCGAGTGACACAGTTGGTAGAAGCTGGTGCCGACGTGAATCAGCCAGATTCGGAAAATGTGACGTTATTGCATTGGGCTGCTATAAATAATCGCAAAGATATTGTCAAATATCTCATTGCAAAGGGAGCCGTAGTTGATGCTATTGGTGGTGATTTGGCCTCCACACCATTACATTGGGCCACAAGGTCAGTATTTTAACAAATATTAATATTATTTAAACTATGAATGATGTACAGTTTTAACGAGAATAATTGAAATTTTTTAGAAATAAATAATTTTATGCAATGTATTAAACTTCCTATATATATATATATATATATATATATAACAATTTTGCACATACAGCCCTTATTTTTTAATGTGAATTATAAGACAGCTTTAAAAAAAAACTTAAAGAGATTTATTTCTTAATTGTCTTTCTAGGCAGGGCCATCTCTCCGCGGTTGTGATTCTAATGAGGGCAGGTGCTGATCCAACCTTAAGAGATTGTGAAGGCTTCTCTTGCATACATCTGGCGGCACAATTTGGCTATACGGCTATAGTGGCTTATTTGGTAGCAAAAGGCGTGAATCCAAATATGCCAGATAGAAGTGCTATGACGCCCCTTATGTGG